CCCTCGGCGGGAGCGCCACCGCGCTTCCCAAGCGGCGCACTGCAGCAGTGCGCCACCAGGCCGGCCCTGAAAAGGGTTTTGAATATAGAGGGTGGTGATGGTTACACAACATCGTGAATATTTTTAATGCCACTGAATTGTACACTTACAAATGATTCAAATGATAAACATTATCAATTGATTTGTATATTTTATTTATTTATTTAATATATTTTTTATTTATGCTAATAAATTTTTATTTATAGCATTTTTGTTTTCCTTGTACATGTTTATGGGGTACAGTTTGTTGTTTCAATGCATGCATGTATAATGATCTAATCACAATAGTTAGCATATCTGCAACCTAAACATTTATCATTTCTTTGTGGTCGTAACATTCAGGATCCTCTTTTCTAGCTATCTTGAAATAGACAACACATTATTATTAGCTATTGTCACCAGAACTTACTCTCCGTGTCTAATGTAACTCCGTAACTTTGCACCGGTCTATTAACCTTTCCCCAGCCCTCCTTCCCCCCTCCGTTTCCTCCCCTCTGTATCTAACCATTAGTCTATTCTTTATTTCTCTTTTCCCCTTTTCTGTCTTTTTAATTTATTTTTCTTAATTGACCCACAATAATTGTATGTATTTATGGGGTACGATATGATATTTGGGTGCATTCGTACTGTGTGCAATGATCTTATCAGAGCCCTTAGTCTAATCCATCACCTCAAATATTTGTCATCTCCTTGAGTTGGGAACATCCAACATCCTTATATCACTTTGTTTATATGTATAAAATGACATGGGGCTGCCCGGTTGCTTGGTGGGTCACAGTGTAGTGTTGCAACATCAAGGTCAAGGGTTCAGATCCCCATACTGGCTAGCTGCCAAAAAAATCAACCATCAATAAAATAAAGTGATAACGATTATGTTTTACCACAAAATTTTACTATTAACTATTTTAAAGTGTATACTGCAGTGGAATTTAGTACATTCACAATGTTATGCAACTGTCACCTCTGTTCAGCTTCAAGACACGTTTATCATCTGAAAAGGAAACCCTGTACTCATTAAGCAGTCAGTCCCACTTTCCACTCTCTTTTCTCACCCCTGGCAAGCACTAGTCAGCCTTCATCTCTATGGATCCGTGCCTATGTCCATCAACTGATAAATGGATAAAGCCAATGTGATCCATCCATACAATGGAATATTATTCAGCCTCAAAAAGGAATGAAACTCTGGTGCATGCTACAAGCAGATGATCCTCCAAAAAAATCATGTTAAGTGAAATAAGTCAGACCCCCCCCCAAAAAAGCCACATACTGTATGATGCCATTTGTATGAAATACCCCTGAACTGTTTGATTTCATGAGCCAACACATTTCTTTTCTTGTTTAAGATAGTGTAGGTAGGGTTGCTGTGACTTGCAACCAAAAGATATTAACTAATACAGCAGTCGGGCACATATGATATGATGCCAGCTTTTGGTTCTTGGCTCTGATAAAAACAAGCCCTCGTGTCCCTTACACTTGCCCAACATCAGCTCATCTGATGATCCAATGGGTTCACCTGTCTCTGAGGTTCTTCAGATCCTAGAGAATTCTGACCAACTTTCCATCCACCAGCCTCCCCCAGCATGCAGACGTGGCCTCCCCTGCAGTCCCCAGCACTCTCCATGAAGTCAATGTGCACCGAGTCCTGAAGAAAATTCATCAGGAGAGCAGTTGAAAATGTATCTTCCAAAGACAAATAGTTGTATGATCCACTCACATAAAATGTCCAGAACAGGCAAATCTATACAAAGGAAAATTACTTAGCCATAAAAGGGAACAAAGTACTATTTCCTGCTACCACATGGATGAACCTTGAAAACATGCTCAGCAAAAGAAGCCAGTCACAAAAGACCATATACTGTATGATTTCATTCATATGAAACTTCCACAATAGTTCTAGAGACAAGAAGTCTAAAATCAAGATGTCATCAGAGTTGGCTTCTTCCAACCCTGCCCTCTCCCTTTGGCAGCTGGCTGCCTTCTCCCTGTGTCTTCACACGGTTGTCCCTCTGTGCCAGTCTGTCCTAGCTTCTTCTCAGAAAGACACCAGTCATATTGGATTAGTGCCCACCCAAATGACCTCATTTTAGCTTAATTACCTCTGTAAAGACCATATCTACAAATACGTTCTGAGGTGCTAGAGGTTAGGACTTTGAAATATAATTTTTTTAAAAAAATTAAAGACTAGTAAAGTACAAAACAGCTAGGTAGGTAAGTTCTACTGATATACAGTCGAGATCGGCACCTATAATTAACAATAATTTACTGCATGTTATCAAATGGCTAGTAGAGAGGAGATCAAATGTCCTCAACACAAAGAAATGATTAAGCTTCGTAATGATGAATATGCTAATTATCCTGACTTGATCATTGCACATTGTACGCAGATATTGATACTCAACTCTGTACCCCACGAATATACATAATCAATTACGTTGCAATAAAAAATTAATAAATAGGGCCGGCCCGGTGGCGCACTGGAGAGTGCGCTGCTTGGGAGCATGGCGGTGCTCCCGCCGAGGGTTCAGATCCCACGTGGAGACCGGTTCCCGCTCACTGGCTGAGTGCGGTGCAGGCGCAACACCGAGGGTTGCGATCCCGTTACCGATCAGTAAAAAAGACAAAAAGGAAAAAAAATTAATAAATAAAATAAAGACCAGTCAAGTACAGTAGTGAGAAGAGGGGAAGAGCAAAGCAAGGAGTTTGATCTGTTACTGACTGTGAGCCATCAATTGTGATAACTCACTAGCTACGGACCAGCCAATGTATGAATTTTGGAGGGACACAATTTCACCCATAACACGGTGGAAAGTGTATTCCAAGAAGAGGAAACAGCATGTGCAAAGGTCCTGGGACAGGGCCATGCCTGATGTGTTGGGGGAAGAGTGAGGAGGCGTGTGTGGCTGGAGCAGAGTGAGCAAAGGGGAGACAAGGAGGAGGGGAGGGAGGGGATAAGGGTATTTATTATGAGAAAAATGAATAAATCTCTGTTGTTTAAGCCTCTCAGCCTGTGCTACTCGG